GATGTGGTGAACAGTACTTACGTATACACTTCGGAAGGAGTTCGTCTTTCAAGAAGCAGTGTTTTCGAAATGGGAAGTACTGCGGGAAGTCCAAGTACAGGCAGTTCTTTGCAGGAACGCCGTTGATCCCGGTCAAGCCTTGCGCGCAAGCGAGGAAGAAGGAGATCAACTTGGTCTTTTGGTTACTGGCAACGACCGATTCTGCGTCGTGGGTTTCTTCGTAGGTGCAATGCTGTTGGTCTTTCTCGTGCACGGTCAATGCTTCGACAGCGTGGGACATCCTTTGCAGGTCGTAGCAGCGGATGCGTGTGATAGCTTCGAGGGAGGTCACGTAGCGTCCTTCAACGTATTCCCGTGCCTCGTCAAGCAGGTCCGGTCGCTGCCCTTGTACACGTACTTGTACAGATACTTGACGGCCTTGATGCTTGTGCAAACCTCGACGTTGATGTGGCTGTGCACCAAGTACGGGTTGTGTGGCACACAGTACTGGTCTGCTGCCGTGTCGCGACGGTACTTGGCATACCCATCGACCCCCTCTGTTGTGGTAGCTTGCAGGGGCTGCGGAAAGCCTTTCTTGCACTTGCCAATCTTATCGGTGCATACGTTAGCTTCGACTCAAACACACATGTGACAATGTCATCGCGTTCAGCAGACGTTTGATGGGGCCACATCGGGGTCATCCTTGGTTTCGTCCTCCAAATCGCTTGGATACGCCAACTGAATACGTTGCAACAACTCGCGCTGGGTTTCGCTCCACGCATCAGGCAGAAATTGTTCGCCTTCTGCGGCAGTTGCTGGTAAATGCTGCACTGTTGCGGTGATCCTGGGTGGTGCCTTCAACTTCGCCTTCCCTTTTGTCGACGCCGTCGTTGTCGACTTGGCCTTTCCTTTGGCCGACACTTTGATGCGTTCCATAGTCGCTCCTGATTGGGCCATGCCATTCGGCTCCATCGGGGTAGCTTCCATCACATTCAAGTTTACGCTCGCTGGCTTGCCCGTAGCCTGAGCTTTCAATTCGTTCTTGCCTAATCAAACGACATCAGTGCCAGATAGACCTTTGCCATTTCATTTCAATTCCTGACCAACAGCATGCTGAAAGTTATGGTAGTTTGATACGCATCCTAAAATAGAATCTACTTCACCCCCTAGACGGTAACCTTATGCCCCTTAAGGTATGGCGCTGGGTGAGAAGTGTACATTAAACTTTATGGTTAGGAAGGCTATCACATGATTATCCGACCAAGGATACCATGGACTCAGATTCACGTTATACGCAGACCGACACAATAGGGAGAGTCAATATAGAAACCAAACTGCTTTTCGTTCCAAAAAACTGATTATCAGATTTTGCTTTTCGTCACGAAAAGCAGAAGCAGAATTGAATTAGTTTGAGAACGCCAATCAGCAAGCAGATAGTTATAGCCAATCAAAGCGAGAACAATTGATGGCTGCTTGCACAGTGGAAACGTGTCATGGAGAGGGGCAAGCGAGCCTCAACATCACGGCCCGAGCGTTTGGCCATGCTGGAGTTTCTGCGCATACCCGACAACTTCAATCTATTGACAGGGCAGGCAACAAAAGGTAATGATATGAGAGGAGGGCAGAAGCTGACACGAGCGCATGGACATGCGCGGCTGGCGGAGTACGTCAACGAAGTCCTTCGAGACACTGTGGGCCCTTGGACAACTCAGGACGCTCGATCCAGGTAATCAACCATGCACCCATACCACGTTGAAACCATTTCGACGCAGGTATAATGCCTACGTCAAGTCATATCGACGTGCAGTTCATTGGGGTGGGCCGAACAAGAGTGG